AGCAAGTTGAGGCTGCAGTGGCCATGAGAATGCCACACACTCCAGCCTGACAAAGTGAGACTCCTACTAAATATATATATATATATATAAATTAAAATAATAAAACCCTAAGTGTCATCATAACATCACTCTTGGTCTGTGAGCTTCCTGATGTCCCTCTGAAACATCCCAAGGTCACTTCGGTCTGGGAGTTCATTCACATCGATATTGCACCCACGACATGAGCCCCATGACATCATAACATCACCCGAGCACCATAACATTGGCTATAAGATGTGCTGATGCCAGCATCACGGCATGGGTGGCTTGTTGGGACATTGCACCTGGGGAAGGGAGCCATGACCTTGTGCCCTGCTCAGGTCCCAAGGGTGGACCCCAACCTCTCCCTCCCAGCCCCCCTCTCCCGGCCCCATCTTACGCAGGTTGGAGATTCGCTCTTCCATGGGAACCTGCGGGCAGCTGGAAATTCCAAACCGAGTTATTTTGGGATCCGGGAAATAGCAAGGCCCAGGGCTGCACGTGTCTGCGATCCCTGCAGGGCAGCCAAGGAGAGGACCCGGTTAACCCCCAGGAGTCCCCAGTGTGATCCCAGCCTCCCTCCAGGCAAGGAAAACAAGGGCTCCCTTCAACTTCCTGTGGCTCTTGGGTGTTTGGGGACCCTTGACTACCTCATCTGTCAAATGGAACTTTTTGTTTTCTATTTTTTGTAATGAGGTCTTGCTATGTTGGCCAGGCTGGTCTGGAACTTCTGGTCTCAAGCAATCCTCCCGTCTCAGCCTCCCAAAGTGCTGGGATTACAGGCATGAGCCACCGCGCCTGGCCTATGATGGGACTTTGAACACATGACCTGCTATTCTCAGTAACTTGTTCAAGGGAACCGATAAACTCACAGCTGCGCGGTGGCCTGGCCCACCCCACTCCCCAGGAAGGGCCCAGCACCGGCCGGGGGTTCCCCTGCAGCTGAGGGCGTGTCTCCCAGGGAGAGGCCTGGCAGGCACCCTGATCTCAGCCTCTAGACACTCTCCATGCCCAACTCTGCCCCTCCTCTTTGTCTCCCAGGGAGAGACCTGGCAGGCACCCTGATCTCAGCCTCCAGATGCTCTCCATGCCCAGCCCTGCCCCTCCTCCTACCAGCAGCCTCCAGTCTTCTGTGGCCCTCTGCTCTGCCCTTCCAGGGGTTTCTAGACCACTTGAGAAGCCCTGGCGGACACCCCCAACACTTCCCTGCTGCCCTCCCAGCGGTTCCTGCCCAGCCACTGCGGTCAGTTAACCCAGAACACGGTGGCTCAAACTGAAGGGCCCCAGCTACAGCCCAGACAAAGGGGCGACCCTGTCCTGCCAGCTGGATGCGGCCAGTGCCCCCTCGGAGCTCCCTTGGGAGATCTGGCTGGGAGAAGCCCACACAGTCACCTGCAGAGGGGGTGGGGTCCCAGGGCATCCCTGCTGGCCTCCTCCGACCCAGGGCCCACTCGAGTGGGCAGGCCTCTCTGTGGTCTGTGGCGACAGGGAGTAGCCCTACAGTCCCCAACAATAACCCCATGCCAAGGGGACGAGGCAGCCATGCTCACGCTTCTCTGAGTGCCGGGTGTGCAGGGTGTATGCCGGCCCCTGGAACAAGGAGATGTCATGGTCAATGTAGCCTGTGCAGGATGCCCGCAGGTACTTGGCGGGCCCTGGACCTGTGAGGACAGACGGGGCAGCCTTCAGCCCGGGCCAATGGGTCAGAGGCAGGGACTAAACGCTGTGCACCACGAGATCCCTGGGGGTCTTTGCCCTTACAGACACCACGCTGCCCACAGAGCCCATCACCCCCGAGGTGTTCTGTTGGGGAATGGCAGTATTCCCAGGACAGACAGTGAGTAATAAGAAAGGTCATTGCTATGATTAACTGAGCACTTACTCTGTCCGCACCAAGTACTGTGCTAAACAACTGATGTGGGTTATTCCAGTGAAGCCTCCTGACAACCCTTGTTTGTTCCTATCTTACAGATAGGAATGTCAAGGCTGAGAAATATCAATCTACCCAAAGTCACAGAAGGTGGAAATATGACAGTTCTGAGACAGTCACCCAGCAGAGCCTGTGTGCATTTTATCACTGCACTAAACCAACCCCTCCCACCCCCCACTTAGAGCAATAGCCAGTCACTAACAGCATAGTAAGGATTAACTTGTCTGCTCTCCCTTGAGAGTACGGTAGAAGGGAAGTGAGGAGACTGAGGCTAGGCTAAAGGCTCCTGGCCTTTTCCCAGAACTGGCCCCACCGCCCGCCCCAGGCTCCCTTCCTCCCCAGCCCCTCGAACCATCCCAGCAGTGAGCACTGCCCACTGCTCGTGAGGGTCAGCTCAGGGTGCAGGTCTTCTGTGAGACTCTGAGGAAGTCTGAAGGGACTTTGCAGGAGGCAGCTGGGCAGTGGGCCCAGGGTGGGGCGGGTTCTCACCTCTGATGGTGGCCATGACTACCGGGGTCTGCTTGACCTCCTGCCGTGACGGCCGTGGCTCCTTCTCTTCTGGGTGCTGTGCATAGAACACACAGTTCTTGGCCCCCTTGGGCAGTTTCATGGCTGGGACTGGGGAGGGAGACAACGGCAGCCAAGGCTGGCTCTAGGCAGCGGGCAGGGAGCCAGGAGTCCCTGCCGGAGACCCCTGAGTCCACTCTCTCAACTCTGCTCCAGACACTGCGTGGGGGCTGGGAGGGGCGGCGGCACCCCAACTTGAGCAGCTGGGGCCGTCTGGGGTACAGCCAGCGCAGGCCCCAGCAAGCCAGGCTGGGGATGACATCACGGCAGAACTTGGATATAAGGGCTCCAAGTGTTTATTTCCCGGTTGCCGTGGTGCCCGAGCTGTGGCGTAGAAATTCTACGCTGACAGCTTAGCAGTGGAGCCCTGAGGACTCAGCACTGCTGCCCACCCCCCACCAACCAGGCGAAATGGCCTAGGAGTCCCGAACCTGGGTCAGGGGAGGGAAAGGGAGAAAGGGATATACCCAGCCAGCTCTTCACCCCACGTGGGTATCCTAAGATTGGGGAAAGGAATGGAGGGGGCCGGTGGCTCACGGGTGAAGGGGTCCTGTGAACTCTCAGCCCCCTGACGGCCCTCGGCCTCCAGCCCCTCCCTCCTGTACCCCTACACCCTCCCTTCTATCAAAGTCTGGTCAAAGACTCAGTGACTCAGCCTGTAATCCCAGCACTTTGGGAGGCTAAGGCGAGTGGATTGCCTGAGCCTGTGGGTTCGAGACCAGTTGGGCAACTTGGTGAGACCTTGTCTCTACAATAAACCAAAAATTAGCAGGGCACGGTAGCACACGCATGTAGTTCTGGCTACTTGGAAGGCTGAGGCGGAAGGATCGCCGGAGCCCAGCAGGTGGAGGCTGCGGTGGCCAGGAGCGGCCACTGCACTCCAGTCTGGGCGACAGAGTGAGACTCCATCTCAAAACAAAACAAACCCAAAAAAGTCTGTTTTTCCCTTGGCAAAGGACCAAGCCAACTATTTCGCACTGAGGTGTGATTGTCTGATAGCACCTTCCCAGACTCCTATCCCAGGGCATGGTACCCCAAGAGATCTGTGTTTAGCTCAGGGAATGCTTGCCTGCTGGCTGGGATTTCAGAAAGGGAATGGGAGGCAAGGGGGGGGGTGCTGAGGCCACAGGGGCCACTTCTTGCAAGACCACGCCCTTGGAGGGGGTGGGGCAGTGTGAGGGGACAGCGTCCCGCCCCCTGTGGTTGGTAGATGCCCCAGGGCTGAGGGAAGGCTGTAGCCCTCTTCATTGCTAAGAACCTATGAGGGGCAGGACAAGGCAGCTCATGCCTGTAATTACAGCAGTTAATTAGCCTAGACCCCATCACCACCAAAAAAAATACAAAAAAATTGGACTGGGCGCAGGGGCTCATACCTGTGATCCCAGCGTTTTGGGAGGCTGAGGCAAAAAGATTGCTTGAATTCAGGAGTTCAAGATCAGCCTGGGCAACATTCCAGACCCAGGAACCTCCTGCCTTCCTCCTGCTCCACTCCCGTCCACCGCCCTCTGCACGGCTCCTGGGGAAACCAAGCCACTCCATATACCAGCAGGTCACAGGCCACTTGTTCCCCAATGCCCCTTCCCTCCAGCTGTGACAGAGACCTAGCTCGCCCCTGGACGGCCCTGAGCCCTCTCCGAAGCTGGTTGTTCCATCACTCACACCCCTTCATGCCTCAGAGTCCAGGGAGGAAGGGATCCGTGGTAGCCAGGCAGTGTCCTCTCTCTACCAACTGTACCATTCCTCTGGGGTCCCAGCATCCAGGCATCCCCAGCTCCTCAGGGCCACCGTCTGTCCCCCACTTGTAAGCCTGGTGGTCTGGGCTCAAGGCTGCCTCCACCCACCCCAACTCCTGCCATTAACTGGTGACCAAGGCCTCCCCAGGGGCCACCCACCAACCCTGGCCTCCCAGTTCCCAGATCTTCCTGTGTGCAAACTCCCCCACTCTGCTCCCTCTCAGCCAGGTCCCTGCAGCCATCCTGGGCTCCCACGACCTCCCACAGCACTGAGAGTCTGTCTCACTCCAGAACACCATCCCTGCCTCTGGGCACTGAAACCCTGTCACTGACCCTGCACTTCTGCCTTGTCCTGTATTCACGGTTCTCCTTGCCCAACCTCTTTCCTGGTAAATTCCAACCCTGGACCGCAGGGGTTCACACACCTGTAATCCCAGCACTCTGGGAGGCTGAGGTGGGAGGATCGCTTGAGGCAAGACCAGCCTAGGCAACAAAGCAAGGCCCCATCTCCACAAAAAATATTTAAAAATTGGGCTGGACACAGTGGGTCACGCCTGTATAATCCCAGCAAGGAAGGCCAAGGCAAGAGGATCGCTTGAGGTCAAGAATTCGAGACCAGCCTGGGCAACACAGAGACCCAGTCTTCACTAAAAAATTTTAAAAATTAATCGAGAGTGCCAGGCTCTGTGGCTCATCCTGTAATCCTGAGCCTTTGGGAGGCTGAGGTGAGTGGATCGCCTGAGCCCGTGGGTTCGAGACCCGCCTGGGCAGCGAGACCTCAT